ATAAAGCTCGTAAAAAGAAATATTCGTGGTCGATAGTCCAATCGCTTTTTTCCACCCAATGTCGGGAGCCTCTGGGTCTCGCTCCTTGCTCTTGAGGTGCACCTGCTCCAGGATGGCGGCGATTTGCGGCAGCCAGTCCCCTTGCAGGGGGCCCAGACTGCCCAGCCCCAGCCCACTCACGCCCTCCAAGATCTCGTCCACGTACGAGCCGTCGTCCACGTCCTCCGCTTTGCGCGCTGCTGCCCCGGTCTCGGACGATGGGGGTGCTTGAGCCTGCCGCCACGGGGGGGATGCGAAGGTGTCTGGAGATGCGGCTTCGTCGGACGATGGCTCCAGTGGCGGGGATCCATGCAGTGGTGTAAACGGAGGAACGCCAGGCCCGACCGAGGACCGCCGCGCCGGCTTGGGTGGGGCCGTGTTGGCTATGGACATGGGGGTATAATCGCGCGCGGGGCCCGAGGAAGGAGGCGTCAAGTAAAGCGATGAGGATGGTGTGCCTGCCAAAGCCGGAGTCGGCGTCCCCTCTCTCTCCCGGTGATCGTGGTGGCCATTTATTTCATGCAGCCTACTGATCCTCTCCCCCTCCACTCGTGTACTTGCGAAAGGCGCCCTACTGCCTTCTATTTTATTCGTGCTTGTCGGGGCCATCACGAGCGCCCTGTCTCCTGTGCCCGGCCCCGTGGCCAACCCTTTACGGGACTTAAGATGGCTGTAAGAAGCTACGACGAATCATCAATAGTATGACGTTTGCGTGACAAAAGTCCTGCTTGCAAGGTAGGAGGCGTGTGGGCGCGGGAAGAATGAACATGGAATATGAAGTGAGGGTTCGCCATTTCAGACTTCCAGACTTGGAAGTATACATCGTGCCACAAGCATGGAACGCCAGCGTGGAAGACCCTCCAACAGGCTAATGCGCCAACACATATGCCTGTGCGACGAGACACCCCGTCACGGCGGACGTGGCACGGACGACCTCAGAAATTATGAAATAGTTCCTCAAAAGGAAGAGCGACCGGGCTCTCGCTTTGTCTGGGAGGGCAACGGGGGCGGGAGAGTCAACCTCCCCTGATCAAGAAGTTGGGTGGACAAGAAAATATCAATTTCGACAGACAAGGGGGTCATTTGTATCTCGTAAGATCTATTTGATGGTGCCCATTTCGTAAGAACAGGCTTGTCCCTACCCTGTGCGTTGGTTCTCCCATCACTTTCTTTAAAAAAAATGGACTTAACTTGTCTCATCAGGAACATTTGCTAGGCAAAAATCTATTTTCAGCGCAGACGAAGGAAAAATGCTATCAAAGTTTAGAAAAATTAAAATTTAAAAATAAAAAGATGTGAAACCGAAATCCACTTCTAAATAATAGTCCAGTCGCGACTTGGTTTTGGATTTAAAAGGTAACAAATATTTCAAAATGGAATGGATCGCCGTGAGATCGAGTGCGCGTTGAGGAGTACCAAGACTGGCGCTGATCAAGAAACATTCACAGGTTTACCCAAAGAGCGACTTGACAACAGGCACGCCCGTGGCCAGCTCCTGTCCGATGATGCCAATGGCGGCGATCATGGCCATACGCCCGTTGTTGAGCTCCTTAGTGCGCATGCGCACAAAGGCTTCGTCATCGTCGGGACAGAAGCCCAGAGGATCGTACTGTAAGTCTCCCGCCACATAATCATCACGCATACCGGCAATTTCTGTTATCAAGAAAAGTATTGTGATGGATTTGGGTGAAAATGGCGAAGCATCCGGGTGAGCGAGACATGATTGTAAGGAAACAGCGTCCCTTTTTCATGTACCTATGAGTCAAAGCATCGCCACGCACGCCGACGGAGCAACAAGAGTAAGAATTTCAATATATTACGGGAGGTATCATGTGTTTTGAAAGAAATTCACTCACTTGGCTCTTTGAGAGTCTCCTCGACGGGATCCCATCCCATAGCGATGCTTTTGAACTCAAAAAGAGAAAGGACAAAGAGGGCCCCCGCGCCGAAGTCGGGAATAAACTCCGTCACGCCGTAGTATTGGCTGAGCGCGGTTTCGAAATCATCACCTGCCAGAAGAGGATGCCAGAGTTCTTGGACGAAAATGCCCAGCACCGCCATCATAGCAACGCGACCGTGTTTGAGTTCAGACTCGCGCAGCTTTTTCTTCTGGCGAATGGTTTTGCCTCCGTAAAAGTTCAAGGGATCGAAGAACCCGAATGGAGCAGAGCTGGTGAGTAAGAATTGAGGTGCACCGAGTGAGACGAGGAATTTTATATGCGACATGTTCATGAAAGGAGAGCTTCACGAGAGACTTCGTACACTACTTGAAACTCCTCGAGGTACTTTTAAAGGTATAAATGTGTGATCCAAATGGACCCAAAACGCTGCCATTCTCGCTCGATAAATCAGCTTGTCTTCCGTACTTACACTCCCGCTTTGGTCACCTCCAACTCGCCGAGTTTCGCATCAAACTTGAGGAACTCCGAGATAGACTCCATAACAACAGTACGCCCTTTCCTCACCGAGTGAGTGTGAGGTACTGTGGTGGGAGCACGGGCCAGGAAGGCGGTGGCAAGGGCCGGGAGGGCCACGCAGAACAAGAGCCGAGCAGGCTGGGCAATCATGCTTCAGCTTTACAATGCGTGATCTGTAGATTGCAGGTAAAGAAAGAATGTCAGCGTCTGCTAAAGACACAACTAGCAACAACACAGACACACAAGCACTGAGCAAGACAGCGCGGACTTCTTGGAACACGGCGGAAAGGACTCGGTCACAGGGCCACAGAGCCTGGCTAGCAGGATCGGGGTCCGACACGATGCCGGCGATACGGCCACGCACGCCCCAACGCGCTCACGGTGGGCACAAATACAGGACAAAGGCACGCGTTGGGCTGTCCAATGCCGTTTCGTACGGCGAGAATGCGGAAACGAGGCGACACGTCGGTAAGGAGGGTGCATTGCGCCACGCCTTCTTTACAGGGTGAGGTGGCCATATTCCGGTGCTCGCGATAGGCGGCCTCCAACTCAAAGCCCGAGTGGCGAGACGTTTGGCAAACTTCAAAGCACCTCCCAGCATCGATTTTTGATCTTTCAAGTACGTTCAAGCTCTTTGTACTTTCACGGTGCGCTTTACACGGCTCCAAATTCTTTGTGTACGATTTTTACGATGCCTACATTTTCTCACGCGCACGCGCCAAGGCCGCTGCCCTCTCCTCATCACCCGCGCGAATCGCCGCGTAATACTTTCTGAAGCTGCAGAAATCCTCGTAGCCAAGATTAAGTTTGGGTCGACCCAGCATGTTGGCAAGAAGACTACGCAACTCTTCACTGCTGTACACAGGTGTCCGGCTGCTGCCACCACTCCCTTTGGCTGAAGTGGGTTGCAGGAGCAAGTCGGGGGCCCCGACGTACGAGACATTCACGGTCGTCCGCCAACGGCTCAAGAGCTGCAGATAAAAACCAAAGACGCTACCCACTGTATGTGTGGGCATAACTTCCCCTTTAGGCGCACTAGGAGGACGGGGAGAAGGGGGGCAGGGAGGGAAGAGGAAGAAGAGCATTAGACGATTTTGCCTCTAAGCCTCCTCACCACGTACGTCTGCCAAATCGCACCTGAAGCCGAAGATATGCACATTTACGCCCCCACCCCTCTCTCCTCCTGTTAGTTTCCCTCCCTTCGCCTCCTTGGCGTCGGTGCCATCCAGCACCCCTCTTTGAAAGACGAGGACGCCGTCCCCGTTGGATCGAGCCGTCTCGGGGAAGACCACAACGGCTTGTCCTTGGCGCTTGGCCTCCGCGGCGAGACTCGACAGAGCCTGGCCGGTCCCTGTCTCAAAGGCTTTGGGAGGGACGAGCCCGGCCCTCCACCATGCCTGAAGCGGCGTCAAAAGGCGGCCCTGGGCCACCGGGGCGACGGCCAAGGCGGAGAAGGCAGGTAGGAAGCGGCTGATGAAAAAGAGCACCTCCAGAGGGGACGTGTGGTTGCTCAGTAGGATATCTCCGGCTTGGATGGTGCGGCCGATGCGGGAGTCGTGGGGCCTGTGCCCTGGAGGCCGCAGACCGAGTTTCCGGAGGTTCGCGTGCTGTTCCCGATACGAGACGCCGAGGATGCTGAGGAGGAGGTACACCGGAGGGCGCAGGGTCAGGAAGGAGAAAACACGACGGATGGGCACAGACAGGGCGGTGAGAGAGCCGAGGACGAGCAAAAAGAAGCCGGTGTGCTGGGGGCTTAGGGTCATGGGTTTCGAGGGCCCTTCATCTAGGTATGCGTATGTCGTGAAAAGCGCGCCTGTCAAAATATCGAACCACGGCTTGGTAAGCAAGGACAAGGCCAAAAACCACGTCAGAGTGAGCAGGATCAAAGGCAGCCGCACGGCGATGAGGACAATGGCTAGGAGGCCGGATGCCACCTTGGACGGTAAGGAGGAGGCAGCGCGACGTTGGGGCAAAAATGGGTTTATTCCCGTGCCCTTGTCGGCCCACTTGGTAAATTTCTGTCCATTTCATGTGATTTTTGGAATTGGAGGAGGAGGAAGGAATGAAGGAGAAAAGATGAAAAAAATAGCAACGCGTATGTCTCCTGAGCGCAGTCACTTACCTCCATTGAGGGATTATCCGCGGTTGCTTCGAAATTTCTTTGTGTATATTGCTGTGTTCTCGCTCCTGCCACAGTGCTGTGTAAGTCTTGAAACCCGGCGGAAGTCTGCGAGACAGGAATAAAGCTCGTAAAAAGAAATATTCGTGGTCGATAGTCCAATCGCTTTTTTCCACC